AACAATTTAATCTTCTATTTTTTCATATTTAGCAAAACCCCTGATATCTTAAAAAACATAAATTAAAAAAAAGTTATACTTCAATAAAATCTAAATTTTAATATTTCAAATAAATAGCAATGGAGCAATCCATACTCTTTCTTTATTCAATAGGCTTTATCCTTATAACAACAACCATTTACTATTAATCTTCTATGCAAATCGGATAATAAGTAGGTTATAGTCCTTCAATGGCAGTTTATAGTATAGAATTAATCAAAGACATTTAATCTAAGAGCACTACATTTTCAATTTATTTCTTCAAAATCGTTTCGGATTTTGGAATAAGCATGGTATATATTGAAGCAGTACTACCATTTCTATTTTTCTCAAGAATCAAAGGATTTTATTATGTCTTGAATGTCTCAATTACCCTCTTCATTATGAGTGTTTCAAAGATGGCTTTTCATGCTCCAAGACCTTACATGCTCGATGATGATATTGATGTTCATGATTGCTCAGTTGAATATGGTTTACCTAGTGGCCATGCTTTTGGAAATTCAGCTTCAATTTTAGTTTTTTTGCTTGATAATTTGAATTCCATTGGAAATTTAGCCAACAAAATAATAGTATGCGTAGGAAGTGCAATTTTTATTCTGCTTAATGGATATTCTAGACTTGCTAATGGTGTACATTCACTAGATCAAGTCTTATTAGGTTGGTAATTCGGGATACTTCAGTCAGTAATAATGCATTACTCGATAAGAAAAAAGTTGTCAGCGCACTTATAGGATATTTATGCAAATGGTAAAACTATCTCTTAAGATAGATACCTAAAATACCACATGATAACTATTTTTGCATTCATTGCTGGTATACTATCCATTTTTGGAACTTACATTATCATTGAAAAAACCTTTACTCCACCAACATTGTGGATCACAAGACTTCATGCCAAATGTGAAGCAGACAGTCTTTGGGAACTGAATCCATTAAGTTTGATACAATCTGGAGTATTTTGTCTAGGAATATTTGGATATCTTGGATGTTTATTATCTGGATCAACTTAGACTCATGCTAATCAAGTTATCTGGTAGAGATTAATTGCTTTAATATTGCTACTGCTTCCTGCTGGAGTTATTTAGATATATAATTTTGAAACAAATAGCCCTTATATAGAATCTCTCCAAATCTCTTATCTACCTTGTGCTTATGCAGGATTTGTTATGTTTTACTTAATGGACAAAGTTTCTCAAATCATATTTGGATCTTAATCTACTAATCTTCACTCTGGAAATTTGTTGAGTTTATCAGAATTAAATATCAAAGATTATATTATAGAAATAGACGGGAATAAGTAAAATATTGGAAAGATTACATATATTTGATTTAAATTAAAACATTGCTTTTAATCTCCTCTATAATCTAAATTTATTCTTGAGGGGTTTTGGGGTTTTGGGGTTTTGGGG